ACTGAAACATTAACATGATATTAATAATTATTTATCTAGTATTTTGTAGGTTTTGTGTTCTCTGTGATGTCCAGTATAACCATGAATCGTTCATTGTCTGTTTAGACAACATCAGCGTATATTTAAGATGGAAGTGATCTTTTAGGACTTCTTCACAGTTAATTAATAGATGTTTCTCTTGACCTGAGATATGAGCGATTTTTGTCCAAGCTTGCATGGTCGTTGACCTTTCCCCTGACCTGATCTCTAGACTTGCATTTGCTTGTCTTTTCTCTTATTACCTAATATATTAGCTCGGTTTTGTTCTGTGTTTATTGATTAACGTTTGACAAGAGTGCTGAGCTTCTATAAATACCATGGTTCGCTTTGTTATCCTTCTGTCCAATATTTCGACCTTTTCTCGGTCGACATTACGTCCGTAGTTGTTTGGTTTATTTTCGTTTGTCAGTGTTCCTTTTGGTTTGAACAACATTTATTGTAAAGATTTGGTGGGCTTATAATAATCTATTTTTTTATGCAGTTGGATCTTTTTAGAGATGCCTCTCTGTTCATGTTCAAACGTCACTCAACTGCTTTTATGTTATCTTGGAAATATTCTTTATGTAAAGTATTAATCATATTTTGCTGATTTCCACGGTTGGTTTCGTATTCGGTGGTAAGTTTGGTAAACTAGTCTTGACTAGTAGTCTTTTAAATATATTTACAATACCTATTTTTCCACTGACTAATCCTCATTCAACACTATAACTAGTTAAACATAATAGTCTCAGGATATCGTCATAAAGCATCGTCATAGCTTGACAATCACGTAATATGACTGATAAAATTAATGAAACCATTAACGAAATCGGTCAACAAATTGACTTATAACGGTGTTTTCTTGGTATCTTCATCCATCACAGATGATTACAGTATGTTTCTCTATCAGTTGCTCGTTCAGTAAATATCTTAAAACCTTGTCAGTCTTATTGATGGTTTAGCGACACAATCATACATGCAAATAATCAGTATAAGCAGTCGAGCAAATCTCCTGCAAACTGAAAACATCAATGTCGAATTTACCCCAACACTGACTAAGGTTCAAGCCATTATCATAGACAGTTGGGAGTGTACTCCCCTTAGTTACAACTTATGTCCTCCCTGATAATCACATGAGCGCCACTCACTGTTAATTACCTTGTAAAAACTTATTTAGCTGAATACATCTTGCAGCACGTCATCTAGTAATGTAGCATATAGACTTAACTGATTTCAATAACTTATAATCACTGTATCTAAATTAAATCGTATTCCGCCTTATGATAAACTGCATACTTGCAACTATCTTGTATGCACCACCAGCCGGCAAGTATAAATAAATATTCTATCGCAGATCAGAACATTGAGTCTCGAGCATGTCTCTTACGAATACACTCGTGTTTAACGATTTGTTCCTAGCTATCTGTCCGAAATTCATATAATTATCACTCATGTATTTAAATTTTATTTTGATAACCATTCATGTGTATTAATAGTAATAAAAAATTTCTACCACGGTAAAGTAGAAATGAGGTTGAGAAAATCTTCCCGTAACTAGATAAACGGTATCAAACCAACTGGAACACTAGTTGGAATTCTTCTCCACGGTAATACTTTTGTTCTTTCAGTTAGCCGACTAACACAGATGCAATTGGAAATCAACACATATGGACAGCTTACCGATATATAGGTTATTTGAGTTAATAATTTAAACCAAACGTAATAACAATATTAACATTTCTACAATATTCATTACTTTAATATTTCTAAACACAAAATACTGACTACCTATACGTTAAGTTATTAAACAGCGGCTATTAACACGCATCGTTTTTATTATTATTATTATTACTATTATTATTATTATTGTAATCCCATTTTCTATAGCCCAAATAATCCTCACCCAAACTTTCATTTTAAGCGTGTTAAGCATGAAGGCAGATATTTTAAAATTATTACATGTATTTCCCGACCAGATGCTGCCGCCTTCTTTTTGATTTATCTTTCAGCTTATCAATACCTGGAGGATTCTTACTATTCTTGATAACCTCCGGCGCGCGACAATCCCATCCAATTTGGTATCGAACCAGTACCACGTTGATTCTGGTGGGAGAGTAGTGTAGTGGCATTGCACCATAACTACACAATCATCAAAGCTGAATACGAAATTACTCGGAAAATAGATATTCAATATTTAACGCAGAGAAATACCTAACGATAGAGAAGGCGCGAATAAAGAACTGAATGAGTTGGAGTTGATCGAATGGCATGACTCGGCTATGCAGACGTGGTCCCTGTTATCTTATATCTTTTAACCATATTAAATATATTGTCCTATCTCTAGCTTAAGCTTGTTCTACATCATGTATTGGTAATTGTTGTGATGCAATGAGTTGGTGTAGACGATGACGTGACTTCCACGTAGGATCTTATAGATCAGGCAGTTATATCATGACAAGTCTATAATTTTAGGATTAGGTCTATTATTAGAGCAGTACTAATATCATGTAGACCTTAATTCCGTCGAATGCTGAGGTCAGTCCCAAATTTAATTATGGAAATGCAGATTTTATCTAGTAACCGACCTGTCGGTTTTTACAGTGTGTCTTGCGAGCTAAGTAAAGACCTACTCACTACTAGTCTGATTTCGTCCACCAATGAAACGATGGTTACCTGCCACGTCGAAGGTCTTACCAGAATAGTGCTCATATCACCCGAACAATATTTCCGGCCAATTAACTAAGTCATACACTAACATATAATGAGCAACACGAGTTTTGGAATATTAATCTGTCCTCAGCTAACGTACTAACCGCGATGGAGGGTTGAACAGCAGCTCAAGATAATCGTTTGTCCAACATTGTGATATTCATAAATCTTACTAAAGCATTTGATAAGATTCTATCCCAATCTCTCGAGCTATGGCATTACATGTGTAATACAGGAGTGGATTTGGAGCTTCTTTTGTAGCCTAAGACAGAGGGTGAAGGAAAATGTGATGCTACTTGGATGGAAACTGGTAAAAAGTGGTGGATCCAAGGCAACGTCTCTGACCCCTTACTATTTCATCTCTACGGTAATGAGTTACCGTTAACGCTTAAGTCATCGACGATAATGTTTGTAAATGATGGCAAGATCTGAAGGACAATAAGTAGCGAGGCTGATTATCTTGACCTCGAAGCAGGCGTATTTAAATAATTTAAACGGTTCATAAACTTGGGCTTAGGAATTAATCACAGAAAGAGTGCTATTGCACACCGAACGTAACAATAGTAACCAGTATACTATCAACGGTACATCATTCCCATGCATTCAGGAACGAAAATGCCATGAATTTACAGTAAATTATGACTAATAAGCAACTGAATGTTGAAACGCAGAAGCCACAAAATGTTTCCGAGTGCTGTGGTCACTTCGTTGAACATTCAAGTGTTTTGACGAGATTTTTTGGGTTTTATACTCCACATAAAAGAAACAGCATCTGCAATACAGCATTCAAGCAGCCGATCCATGTTTTATCAAGGATTCTCAAGCACGAGAGACTATTTAATTTGTGATAATAAAAAGAGTCTTAGGTCTTTTCAAATTCTCTTACGAAAAATGTTTAAAACAACTGAAACATTTTACCCTTATAGTATAATAGGGCCCAAGGTGACCTTGTTTTAGCATTCCGTATCCTTGACAGCAATTAGGGTGTTAACATGCCCAATACTTTTATTCTCTCTAGAACTAATCATCCCTCAAGGCCATATACTCAGAGTCGGGTTTCGTTTTTCTCATTTGATGTTTAATGACTGGAATGACCTGCCCGAACAAATGATGTCAGTTCTGCCAGTAAACGATTTCAAGAAGAAGCTGAGTGTTCACTGAGAAAACACCTGCAAAGATTAAGACAGGTCCACCGACCTCTATCCTTATTGCTGAAGATTTAAGATTAACTTTCACAATGAATTGTTAACCAGTGGAATTTTCTACCTCAGGACCTAATTGAGGCTCTATAAAAGTGGTCGTTCAAAGGAAATTTGGAATGAATAACAGATGATGAACGCAAGGAAATATACTGACTTTAAAGACTCTTGTCCTTCACAAACTGGTTTCTGGCGAGCGCCCTAATTAAAGTAAGCGTTACCCGCCCTATGTTTCTACATGTTTACCACTAAGTTCCCCAGAGGATTATCTCTTTGTGAACTAATGTATCAACCTATAAGATCGAAAGTCAGTTAGGGAAAACCTGCAAGAATGACTTTCGAAATTCGGATGAAACTTGCAGAGACGGATGATCCATGGTTTCGAACCAGGCTAGTTTATTCAACTGAATAGGTTAAATATTTCTTCCCGTTATAAGTTACTGATTTTATTTTGTCATAATGATTGCCTATTTATCCTTAGGTGTGGGCTACAGGTACTTCATATTCACGTGGTTAAGGTTGCGCCAGTGTTACACGGGTTGTTCTTCAACAAAGTAAGTCATGGAACTTCACTTCCCATCAGTATAGAGAATGTCAATAGTAAGAGTCTTTAGAGCACTCAGTGGCCTCCAAGATGGCAGTTTTATTTCAAGTGTTTGTTTCGGGACAAGTTTAAGCAGGATGTTACTTGTTTGTGATATAGCCCAAGCAACACAAAAAAGGGGAAATAAAGCGGACGAAAGGGGAAATAAAGAGGAAATGTCGCTTTTTCGCCTTTACGTCGGTTATTTAGGGGAAATGTCGCTTTTTCCCCCCTACGTCGTGTATTCGGGGGAAATTTGTCGACAATTCTATGTAACGTACAGTATTCGAATGAACCGCTTCTGGAGCTTAATTTTTCATAAACTTCGACGAATTAAGGGATCGCTTAATAAAAAAACAAAACTATTGTCATAAAAACAAGGTACAAAATACGGAACCAGGCATTCGGTTCATACGCATATAGACTGACTTCGTTTGTTGTTTAGCTAAAGTGTTCCGACATGCTTGGGAGCCATCACAAAAACTTACGTGATGCAGGTGAGTGACGTGCTCTCAGATTTTCATGTTCATTGTAAATAATTACATTGTTAGGCCAATACTAAGAGTTCTGTTGAAGTCAGTGAGAATGTTCGTAGACGTAGGGCCACTGTGAACTTGTCACGTTCCCTTGGCTGTCATAGATCCACTTATAACAGAAGGTGGAATAAAATGAGAGCTGCTTTCATGAAAAAATATGACTTTCTTTCGTTCAGTGAGTTTGCTAATGAAAGCACCCTAAAAGGTAACTGAGTTCAATAATGTTGTTTATTAAATTGATAGAAGTAAAGACAGAAACCAGTTGTAATGACAGTACTTCAACTATTACAGCATCGACTAGCAACATCAATCAAGGACTTTCAGATAATAGTGGTATGTATATTAAATTCATACGTGAATATATATCTTATAGGATCTCCTGAAGTGAACCTGTGCTCTCAAAAGTTCGTGAATCGCAAAGAAATGATGAACGACTTTATGATGTATCTAATGTCAAATACATCTCTGAGCATAAGAGATGCTGATCGGGTTCTGTATGGTCTAAGATTTCTTATCCCTGACATACCGAAAAGCATCAGAGGTGTCCTAAAGACGTGTCCAAGTGTTCAACCAAAGTTTATCGGCAGTGGGGTTTACTACCATCTAGGATTGAAAACCAGTCTGCTAAGATACGTTGAACTTTGGTTGTGTACTACTGATTTTGACTTTTTAAATCTATATATCAATGTGGATGGACTTTCTATGTCTAGAAGCTCCAATCAACAGTTATGGCCTATACTAGGACGGATCGTTGCCCCTAGGTTTAGAGACGTGTTCATGATAGGGATCTACGGAGGGAGTAGTAAGCTGGCAGAATTCAACGAGTTTTCTGCGGACACAATTTCTGAAATAAAAGAAATGACTGACGTGGGTCTTTTTAGTGTTAAGTTTAATAAATGTATAGCTATTAGGTTGGTGGCTGTTATATGTGACGCACCTGCTCGTTCTTCTGTTAGGTACACGGTAAATCACAACGGTAAGGCAGGTTGCGACAGGTGTACTGTACTTGGGAGACGGCTGGAGGGGAAAACGACCTTTCCAAATGGAGTACATACCTTAAGAACAGACGACACCTTCCGTCGTCAGTCTCAATCAATTCACCATCAAGGACATTCTGTTATGGAAACGCTTTCGATTGATATGATTTTAACTTTTCCTCTAGATCCTATGCACATGGTGTACCTCGGTGTTACCAAAAAACTAGCTAACTTATGGATAGATTTAGCACGCCGAAGACTGCGCGACTTTAACTCATGTACAATTAGGGACATAAATAATTTAATAACGGGTTGTGTGGCAAGTACTCCTTCTGACTTTCCCCGTAAATGCCGTACACTAGACTTTGTATCGGCATGGAAAGCTTCTGAATGTAGGTTGTTTCTTCTGTGTTTAGGCCCGGTGATTCTTGAAAAAACATTGCCACAACCTTTTTATCTTAATTTCCGGCGTTTAGCGTTATCCATGTATCTGCTTGCACATCCGAAATTACATAAAATTGTTGTAGAAACCGCCAAATTAGATTTATTAAACTTCCTAAATGAATACGCATGGTGTTATGGGTGTGAAAACTTAGTTTACAATGTGCATTCGTTACAGCACCTCCCTGACGACGTTCGTGCACATGGACCTTTAGATAGTTTTTCAGCCTTTCCATTCGAGTCTTATATGAGACAAATTAAGGATTCCGTGCGTAGTGGGTTTGCAGTAGCTAAGCAAGCAGCACAGCGTTATGCTGAGAGAACATCCTTCAGCGATAGGCTTCAAATTAGTGGCTTAACAAATACTACCCCAATAGGCGCTAATGATGTCTCCACTAAACTAGTAATTATGTTTAACAACAGTAAAATCAATTCATGTCAGCCTGATAATGTAGTAATAGTGAACGGCCAGCCAGGTTTAGTCACTGATATAAAGGAGGATGGACTACTAAAATTTAGGACTTTCACTGACCGACGCAATTACTTTGATGATCCTTTCCCATCTACTGATATTGGAATCTTTATGTGCTCCGTAGTTAGCCACGAATACACTTGGGTATCGGTTCAGGACATTGATTGTACTTGTATAGCCATTAATTGTATCAATTATATGGTTGTAATCCCATTGTTGCATACTTTATTGTAAATGCATTTTGTTTCATTAGTGTTTAAGTTATGACGATAAATCATTTACTTACGTCTTATGTTCTTTTCAGCCCACTAACAAGAAATACGATATTGTTGACGTCCTAAAAAAAAAACAACTTATGATAGCATCAAAGGACTGGATAGTTGGCAATGACCTTTTCCTTCTTCCGAACGAGCTGGTCGATATACACCTGCAGAAGTGCGACCAACCGAATGAAAATTGGTCACTCATGAAATGTAAAGTGATTCACGAATTAGGTACGTGACATACACAGAAAGTATAATTCACTATAGATTCTCTGCAGTCGGCAAAAGATCTGTTAATTGCCCTACAGATACTGGAATCTCAACGGAAAAACACCTCAACGGATGAAAACACTTTGTCTCTAAACACTGAGAAGCCAAAAAGGTCTGTACAATAATCTTACTTACATTTCGTAGAGGTGTAATGAAGCGTAAAGAAGATTTTCTTTACAATTCAGTCGACATGGATGTGGCTGAAATGCAGGCTGGGAATAGCCGCGTACAATATCCCAAATTTCGTGTTTTCGACAAAGTGATATCTCCAATCGCCAAGTACGTTTAATTACTATTTAGATATTCACTATTTAGTTCAACACAATTAGAGACATCACCATCCACATCGGAATGTAAGCATGCTGGTGGCGCTGTATTGGACCAGTAAGTAACCTGCATTATCTAGTGACCTTTTTCACCTGTGATAGGTTGTATACTGTGGTGCTGAAGATTTCGTCAGCTATCAATGACTTGACTAAAACGATTAACAACATGTCGTCCGCCATTACGGACTTGAATGTCAATGTAAACCAATTGCTTTCGAAGTCTAATGAGCGCAAAAGACCGCATCAATTCGATTGCGGACTGTCAAGTCAGCAGTTCCCTTTGTCATCTGAACAGGAACTACAGATGCTAGATACTGGTTTGTCGCAGAAAGAAACCAGGGACAGATTTGTAAGTCATTTACGAGAATTAATTAATTTGTTACTATTACAGATGGCAATGGTCACTAGGTTATCAGGTGACGATCCAAAAACGTCCATGCGTTTTATTCTGTCGCATCTGCTGACACCGGAGGTTGCCAGTAAATTCACGTTAATTTGCACCTCTTCTAAACGAGCACTACAGAAATGCACGTTTTACAGCTGCATACGAAGTAACCTATATCTATTACTTAAACTTCAGGTGCCTTAACTCATCGCTTTTTGTCATCCTCTGTCAACGAGAAAGACCTTGGTAAGCTCTACGACATCGCGACACAAGGTTACTTTCACGACATCCGAGACAAGATGATAAAACGAAATAGGAGAAAAGAAAATCAGGTATGTACTAATTTAAAGTGATAACCTCCCTACGGCTCTATAGTTACAGTCAACAATACTAACAAACATGACCGTAAGTTCAGCTTCAAGTATTTGCTTGTGCAAAAGCATGTCATTGAGATATGGTTGTGACTTTTTTTTTTGTTTTTAAAATTCAGAATTCACAGGACGACTACCTCAATTCTGATAGTCCGTGCAATTGTTTTGATGTTGTACCTCGATTTCAATAAACATTATTCTTTTAAACAGTTTACTCTTTTACCTACATGGGAAACTGTTGAAGTGTTGACAATGTGTGTTTCAGTTTCAGTGAACTTTTGATTAAATGCACATTTCTTATGAATAAATTATAACCTGTTCCTTCTTTTTCAGATAATTTCAAATAACAATGAATTAGCAATTGCATTGGATATGCATAACAATCGATGCTTCAGCTTGTGCTCTACTGTTGTACAATAATACGCTTTTCTTTTTAAATAAAATTTTTGAAATATTCACCGCTTTTCCACTTCATTGCAGATATATTTTGGTATGCAGTTGAAAATAAAGGTGAACATAGGAGACCTTTGAGGTTCTGTCGATGGATAGAAAATAGGAGGTAATGTGTGTATTTATGCAAAAAGTAGACAATTAAGCGCATAAGTAGGCAATTTGGCGGATATTTAGGCAAAAATGCGACAATTCAGCGGATATTTAGGCGAAAATGCGACAATTCAGCGGATATTTAGGCGATAAGTCGGTAATTTGTCGACAAAAAGGCGAAAAAGGGGAAAATCCGCATTATTTCCCCCCGACAGGCGAAAAAGGCGACATTCGGGCGCGTTTTCCCCTATATTTCCCCTTTCGCTACCATAGCATTTACCCCTTTAATTCCCCTTTTTCCACTTTTTGTGTTGCTTGGGAGGATTTAAAGAACATATTAAACCTATTATCCTTGTCAGTTAGTTAGAATATTTTGATATAGCTACCCTGGGCCCTTCCTAAAAATGTAATCAAATTTGGAGCCATGCCATTTCGAGACCAACGTGACCACTACTCCTCGAACCTTTTCAGGTAGTTTAGTCGGTGGGACTAATTTAGCGACGACCTTTGAACGACTCTTGAACGACCTTGACTTTATTAGCCAATCAGAAGACAGTTAGTATAAAGTAAGAATATATTGTAAGTAAGTAATGAAATACAGTGGATATTCTTCTTTTACATGATTTAAAAACTTGTTAAGGTTTGATAAAGGTTCAGAGGCTCTGAATTCATAATGCATATTGTATAGAAACTTGTCCATAGGGTTAGTGGTTAGGGTTGTAGCCAGTCAATACACCTCTTCTCGAAAATCCGATGTAAACCGATAGCATGTTATCACCCTAATCCTAACCTTAACCTAACCCTAATCTAACCCTAACCTTAACCTAACCCTAAACCCTAATCTAACCCTAACCTTAGCCCTAAACCCTAATCTAACCCTAACCCTAATCTAACCCCAAACCCTAACCTTAGCCCTAAACCCTAATCTAACCCTAACCCTAACCATAACCCTAAACCCTAATCTAACCCAAAACCCTAACCTTAGCCCTAAACCCTAATCTAACCCTAACCTTAACCTAACCCTAAACACTAACCTTAGCCCTAAACCCTAACCCTATGGACGAGTTTCTATACAATATGCATTATGAATTCAGAACTTCTGAGCCTTTATCAAACCTCAACAAGTTTTTAAATCATGTAAAAGAAGAATATCCACTGTAATTCATTAATCACCTCTCTAAAATCCGCTGTGAACCGACCGTATGTTAGCACCGCGTGTTGAACTTCTCTCCGTGACCTTGAAATTGCTCAAACGCTTCTGATTGGCTCGTCGCTAAATTAGAGTCTCGCCGTTTAGTCTTATAGACAAGAGCTAACTACTTGTATGTAGCGCGTAAGTTAACTTACGCAATTGCGAGTCAACAGTACTGTGTAGTGTATCGGAACTTCCCAACACTTGGTTATCTAAACTCTAACCACAGTCCAAAAGTTTCTAGTACTTATCAGACTTGAAGTTCTGAAAGATCCTATGGTTAAGATGTGTTTTTTTTGTTATATCCCAACCTATTATGGTTATAATATTTTTGCGCCTACTAAAATAAAGATGTACAGGTGTTCTTCCGAGAACCTGCTTTCTATACGAGATTTTCTGGGGAATTCAAACTTACCACATATGTTGCTTATCGTTTTATCAATCTTACATGACTAAAAGGTTGAAGAAATAGATGGTTATGACTAGCCACAGGAAACCCTTCAGGACCACTTTCTAAGTTTTAAATTTTTACTTCTGTACAGTTAAGACCTAATAATAATACCAAAAGCCTGGAATTTGAGACTGCTTTAATTTTAGTGACGACCTTTTAAGCCTCCCAAATATTGAAGAACAGCATTCATGAAGACGCCGGTTATCTACATAAAAAAACTTATTACCGGTCATCAAATCATCATAAGTCGGCTAGGTGCGTCGCAGATGGTCATAAAGTTTTAGCTTGGTCCAAGTAGGTATATACATATGAATTTTGTCTAGGTCTGGAAAACAGAATGTTCTCACTCAGTATCAAAACGTGGTCACCATGTCAGCTACGTTTTAAAACGTAGCTGTATTGTTGACTGTAACTATAGAGTCGTAGGGAGGTTATCACTTTAAATTAGTACATACCTGATTTTCTTTTTTTCTATTTCGTTTTATCATCTTGTCTCGGAGGTCGTGAAAGTAACCTTGTGTCGCTATGTCGTATAGCTTACCAAAGTATGCAACAATGGGATTACAACTATGTAATTGGTACAATTGATGGCTATACATTTACAATCAATGTCCTTAACTGAAACCCATGTGTATTCATGGCTAACTACGGAGCACATAAAGATTCCAATATCACTAGATGGTGTAATAGTTGAAGTACTGTCATTACAACTGGTTTCTGTCTTTACTTCTATCAATTTAATAAACAACATTATTGAACTCAGTTACCTTTTAGGGTGCTTTCATTAGCAAACTCACTGAACGAAAGAAAGTCATGTTTTTTCATACAAGCGGCTAGCATTTTATTCCACCTTCTGTTAGAAGTGGTTCTATGACAGCCAGGGGTACGTGACAAGTTCACAGTGGCCCTACGTCTACGAACATTCTCACTGACTTCAACAGAACTCTTAGTATTGGCCTAACAATGTAATTATTTACAATGAACATGAAAATCTGAGAGCACGTCACTCACCTGCATCACGTAAGTTTTTGTGATGGCTCCCAAGCATGTCGGAACACTTTAGCTAAACAACAAACGAAGTCAGTCTATATGCGTATGAACCGAATGCCTGGTTCCGTATTTTGTACCTTGTTTTTATGACAATAGTTTTGTTTTTTTATTAAGCGATCCCTTAATTCGTCGAAGTTTATGAAAAATTAAGCTCCAGAAGCGGTTCATTCGAATACTGTACGTTACATAGAATTGTCGACAAATTTCCCCCGAATACACGACGTAAGGGGGAAAAAGCGACATTTCCCCTAAATAACCGACGTAAAGGCGAAAAAGCGACATTTCCCCTTTATTTCCCCTTTCGTCCGCTTTATTTCCCCTTTCTTCCCCTTTATTTCCCCTTTTTGTGTTGCTTGGGTTTGGTTCTAGCGCTAGAATTTTAACTGGTTTTAAATCTGTTAGTTTAAGTTTTGACAAACCGAATTTGCTTCGATCTGGGATCTGGACATGATTGTGTATACAGTTACAATAACAGTTACAGTGACAATATTTGTTTTATTGTGACCGGAATAATAAGTTTACATATACCCTCAGAGTAGCAGCTATAGCTGCTACTCTGAGGGTATTTGTTGTGTTCCATGTAGTACTTATTTGTTGTACTAGCTTGGCATAATATGGTGTCTATGTACTTTTCTTTTAAACTTTGCTAATTTCATTAGGCGAAACATATTATGAAGAAATCAGCAGAGTTTTCTAAAGATGATGTTAGTACGGTTCCTCTCGAAGATGATTTGACGCTAGTAAATGAAGTCCCAAAAGAACACCAATCTGAAAGGCGTGTTAGAATTTTCATCCCAGCTAAACCTACTACTCAATCAGACACTCATGGTACTAGACTTTGGCGTATTGAGTTCGACAATCGGGAACGCTGGGAAAATCCACTGGTGGGTTGGGCGAGCACTGATGACCCACTTTCAACTACAGTTGTTGAATTTGAAACTTCTGAAGCGGCAGAAAAGTTTTGCAAACGTCAGGGATGGCCATGTTACGTAGAAAGTCCAAATATTTTAAAAATGAATGTCAAGTCCTATGGATCTAATTTTTCATGGAATAAACGAACACGGGTTGGATCGAAATAATGTTATCAGACTGCTCACATTTTTCTTGTTCCTAGCTTACTTTAGCAGCTTCTTCAGTTGTGACCTATTTTATTTTGCTTGCTAATAAATATTGTAGAAATATAAATTAAGTATATATTGTTTCCTTTTTGTTATTTCATAGTAAAAAGTTCCGTTTATGCTTTCTATTTCGCTAATTTTAAGTAAAAAAATTGAGTTGACTCCAAAGTTGTCTTATCTCTGTAATGCGACGTTTTAGCAAATTTGCTTGGACAGTGGTTTGTGAGAGTGGTGGTCACTGTTTATACTAATTTTGCGTTCAAAATCTTCCATAGTCCATTGTATTTTGTATCATTTATCATTATTCAACTGGATCCAAAGGAAAAAATGGCGTATGAAACAATTGTTGGCCACCGGTTACCATGGGACTGTATCTCCTTACGGTGCTCCACTGCCCTGTGGATCAGACCTTCATGTCGAAGGCTCAGGATGGGGCCCCCTAAGAAAACCACCTGATTTGGTTTGGGCACCCGGGAAGTATCCCGACCCTTACACAAATCGAATGATTTATGTAGCGCATATCTGTTTGGTGCCTCCTTGTACCAATGTTTATGTGTTTAAATAAATAAGCAAATACTGAAAAATGGTTGTGTAATTTAGTTAATTTGAACTAGTCTCACATTTTATTTATTTATTTGAACACATGAATATTGGTACAAGAGAGCGCTGTGGTGGACCAGACAAATATGAACGCAAAAAGTATAAACAAAGTTACTAAAGATCAATAGTAATATTAATATATACAGTTAATTGTTACAAATACAATAAAAATAGGGACGTTACTTAAATTGACCAAACGCTGCGTGTTCTGATTAGGTCCGGTAATGTAAATCCACAATTATAAATGTTTGATAATTCCAAGCAGGTTGGCGAACTCTCTGGTGATATAATCCCACGTAGAATGTGATGTATTCCAATTACAGTCTATAAATAATGATAATATTTGATTTAGAATTCAGCTAATTCAATCACAAATGGAAATAGAACGAGGGATGTGTGAGTAGTGATGTATTTGTTAGCCAGTAAGTATATGTCACGCTATGTTCGAATTACAGCGGAAAAAGTGTTCAAGGTCATTGACTAAAACAACACGTACAGTCATTTAATGATAAATGTACATACAGTGAAAAATTGACAAAACAAATAGAAATAACATTGAAAACTATTTACAAAATAAGCTTGTCAGTCATATCTCCACATAGCTCCCCCCAGAGTGTCCGGAGGTAACACTGGTTACAATAACTATAATAAAAAAATTTTATACAAAAAAAAATTAATATTTACAATAATAACCAATAAACAATGTGGAGATGCGTATGACATGTACGTTAATAATATACA